TCAGAGTGTTGTAGACAGATGTTTGAAACCTTAAGATGACTCAGTCAGTTGTTGCATGGCTTTCTGCCTGGATAACCATAATGTAGATCATGCCATTTCTGCTTTACTGATGTATTGCCATGGTGATGACATATATCATTTTATCATAACCTTTCTGTTAATGGCCCAAACTGTGTCTTCTCTAATGACCATACAACCAAACCACATTGAATGTGAAGGACCACTTCTATCTTTAATGTCAGCTGATCTCAGTTGGGTAACATGAGAGATGATTGTTACTTTCATCCTTTTCTGTATTTCTTTCAGCTTTATCCAGCTCAAGGTGACAGACCCAAAATGATCGGTGTCTTTATTTGCTACAGTATGCCCAACTGTTTCTTCATTGTGTGACTTTGTCTGTATATGGAACATAGTCAGCTAGGGCTTTTACAGAAAACATTTCAGTGACCATTTTATTTGAATGTGTGTTCCCCACTGTGGATTTTCATGGTTATGTTGCAGCTTTGCAGCTAATTTTTCATCAGAAAAGTAGCTGATGTATTCTCTTGAGTACACAGAAAGGCTTGCATAAAAAGATTTCATATATCTTTGAAGTTACGTTTATTTATCAAGATAAGAATGGTAAGAGAATGGGGACAGCATTTTTCTGTTTGCTTCCTTACATCAGGATAATAAAATGAATTTGGTTTGGTTCTTTAGTTTTAACCTAATTAATCCACTCAGAATGCAAGCTGCTTAAGGAACAGAGACATCTTTATGGCAAGTTTGTTTCTTTTGTAAAGCAACCATGAAAATGTTAAACCCTAGCACATTTTAACTTAGTTTTTCTCTGGCTGCCTTCTTGTTTATAAATTAAATATTTTGACTCTCCTGTTTTGATTCTCCTTGTTGCCCCTGGTGTGACTTGTTCAAAGAACTCTCTGTCTGGGGTGTTGCAGCAGAGCAGATTCAGACAGTTCTGCTCGGAGAAGGAAGTGGAGAGTTTTGGTTCCCATTTTGCACTTCTGGAACAGTTTAGGGAAGGAAGCACCTTTACACCTTTTATTGTTCGTGGTTGCTGACATCATATCCTTCCCTGACCACTCTGTGCGTGTTTCCTGCTATTCTATCAAGATTCTGTGTTGCAGAGAAGGGATAGTGGGTGTGCATGTGTGTGTGTGTGTGCGCGTGTGTATATGTCTGTGCGTGAGCGTACGAAAGAGAGACAGGAGCGGTCAAGTGATCTGCTGCATTTGTCCATTAGCTCTTTTCCCTTCTCAAGGCTCAGATCAATCTTCTGTCAGCTACCACTGCCTCTGCCAAATCATATAGTGAACAGAAGCCCGCCAAAAATGAAGTTCCTCTTTTTGTAAGCAGTCTGATTTTTTTTTTTTTTATGTTTGGGTTTGCAAAAAGAAAAAAGTGCTGAAGACTGTAACAGCATAGCATGTAACTATGTGTTTCTTTAAGTGCAATTTGTTTGCCTGTAACCATGTCATTAAGTTGGAAGGTTGCTTTTATGTGGAGGGTTACTTCAGCAAAGCTTCTGGAATTATTTTAAGTTCCTTTTTAGATTCTCTTGGATAGTGAAAGCCTGCAGTACTATTTGAGTTTTGTAGTACCTTCAACGTTTCTAGCTAGTGTGCTTTATTAGTGTTAGGGAAATACACTTGATCAGTTAACAGGAACTTTAAATACTTAATATATAATCCTTAATCATGCAAGAACTTTCAAAAAGTATTGAGAACACTGGTGAAGTCCTAAAGCAGCCATGGGGATTTGTTAGTCTCTAGAGTTCTTTACATTCTGTTTGCCTCGGAAGTCACCAGCCTTTGAAGGTTATAGCCCATGAATCACATGTCTTGATTTACTCAGCTGAATCTAATTGATTTGGAATCAGTCCAGCTATCTGCTTTATATATTTACATGTGCAAATGTATATACTAATGAAATGAATAAAATTATAGGCAAACACATAGTAAGAACAGCATGTGAAGCAGTATGTGTTGATATGTATATATGTGTGAAAGAGTAAGACAGATACAGAGAATACCACAGCTTTCCCCATTTGTGTCTAGTGGCAGCAAAAATAGCAGAAATTCTTTTTTAAAAAGGATATAAATTTGCTAGAAAAACTGAAAAGCTTTTATCTGAAATTAGACCGGTAAGCAAAAAGCTTTGAGGGAGAGAGGTTTTCTTCATCAGTGCAAGAAAACTTAACCCGCTGCCTGTTGAAGCAAAATTATGTTTCTTTGCAAATTGTATGTTGGAAACATATGACATTCTGTCTTCTCCTTCAGGTTCTCTCAGGTTGTATAATACGTAATAATCAAATCATCCTTGCTCTCCTTCAACTTTATTTTCATCCTTGCTCTCCTTCAACTTTATTTTCCTGCACATCTATTTTTCCAGTTAAAATAAAACTAGTGTAGTTAGTGGTTACTACATTACTACAGGTAATGAAGAATAAAATTCTGCTCATCAAGTGCTGCATGAATTACTTTAAGAAAATTTTGTGTAGATCATAGGAATTTTAAGTGTTCTGACTTTAAACTGTCTATAAAAGCTTTTGTTGTTTGAAGACTGGTCTTAAATGTGGAACTGATACGTGTGTGGGAGGGACTCAACATATTGCTCCTCCACTAAGTTTTTTGTCCTTCCTGGTAGAATTTCTCGGTATTTGGTGATTTTCTGAACTCACTCAGCATCAGCATCTTGATCTGCAGAGCAGCTCTTATCCTTGCTAACCTGTCACCACTGCTCTAATCTGTCCACCCTGACCTTCCACCCTGAAATGCATAAGAGCTTAGGCAGGCGTAGTGCTGTAAGCCGATAGTGCCACTGGCTTCAGCTGAATGAAAGGAAAGGAAATTGTTCCATATGCATTTGCTGTGGATTAGCGTATTGGCTTACTGTTACAGAGAAAGCCTGTTAGACTCCTTTGGGTCCTGCATGTGCATGGGAAACACCATTCTAACTTGCTCTTTGTATCAGAGGTAAGACTATAGGAAAAACAGGAAAGAAACCCAGTCCGAGGAAATTTAAAACTGTTTCTAAAAATAGACTGGGTTTGTTTGTCAACACTGAATATCAGATAAGACTGTCTCCTAGCTTTGTTTGGAAAAATAGTTTTATAAATACATTTAATCAATTGAATTTATTTCAAAGTTTTGGACTTTTTTTTTTGTAAATATGATCAAGCGCCTTTGTGTCTTTTTAAGCAATGAAAAGTTGAACTGTTTTCAAATAAGTAAAAAGCAGTAAAAAAATTTTGCAGCCTTTACACTTTATTATATTGGCAACATGAATTGTTCTATGTTCCATGTTCTGCATTACGGTAATGATTTAGGCATATTTATATATGCCTAGGAAATAATATAAAAAGGCATTCATGTACAGAAAAGTAATAAGTATTATACTTGAAAATTTGTTTTGCCCATCAGATTAATTCTATCATAGTGGCTAGTTAGAAAACTCAGACTGACTGCTTATTTGTTAACTTATTTTTTCCTTAGAGTGATAAAACACTTCAGCAGCTTGAAGTTTAATGTATGCAAAGAAAATAAAGAGAGAATTGAAGATCAGAATGAGTGAGGTCTAGCTTTTCTACCTCAGTAGCTTTGAATCAGAGCCAAATAATGGATTAAATGGCCAGGACATCAGCTTAGTGTTACATAACATATTGTGAGAATTTATCAGGTTGGCTGCAAGACTACGAGCTTAAAATAAATAAGGAAACACCACCCTCTGTTTTTAAAAACTTTAAAAAATCATTTTATCTGAATCTCATTCAGATTTTTTTTTCTCTTCTGTATTTAAAATAACTGTTCTGGTCAAAATATGTAAACAGAAAAATGGTAAATGAAGGTTAAAAGGGGAAAAAAAAATGCATCTTTTACTTTACTACTAGACTGAACATAATTTCTGTATTTTCTTATACTCCTGTCAAGTCTTTTATTGCTAAAAATACTTTGCATGTGATAGAAATTAATTTTGTGATTTACGACATTTTGTGAAATATGGAATGTGTACTGCGTTATGTATTTTTATATATTGCGTATAACTGTCCTTAGTTTTGCAATAGAACCAGTATTGTAAAGTTCAGGGAGCTAGTATCAGTGCATTACTAAAACTGAAAATATTTTTTAAAATGTTCTTAAATTATCATCTGTCCCTGTTATTCTGTGCTATATAGCTTGTCTTTTGGTGCAAGAATTTTTATAAGGAAAGATCTATGTGTTTGCAAGTTGTAAATCATTCGTCAGAACATTTTAGAATTTACATTGAAATGAAATGAGGGAAAATGCACTACTGTTTTCTTCAAGGATCTTGAGTGATACTTGCACTAATCTATATTCTTAAAGAATAAGGTTAAAAATTTTGGATTTAAAGTAGCTGACATCTCTCATATATCAAGTAACACTTCAATAAAGTTCCATCTTATTTGCATAATGAGGGACATTATCACCTCTGCTGTCAAAACACAAGATTGTTTTCCCTTCAGAAATGAATTAGCTGGCCTACTTAGCATACACAGGTACAGAAAGGTTCATTAACTCTCTGATTTAGGTAATTTTTCATATTAGAGCAGTGAGTGATATTTAAAACTAGAGACACCTAATTCCATTAAAGTTTTGGCAATGTGTATTTCAGTCCTTTTCTTCATTTCTTGATATACTGGAGTGTTTGTTCATAAAAAGAAGCCTTTGAATTAAACTATTATTTCTCTATGCATTACTTATTTTATAGATGCAGTAAATTTTTATTACAATTTACTTGTACACTGAATATAATTAGGGTGCTTGGTCAGGTCCATATAATAACTTTCATCTAGTTATCAATTTTGTAATAACATTTGATTTCCTTTTTGTGTTTAGCAGGAACGGATGCAGGGGACTGTGAACTGAGTAGTGCAAGTGCTGAAGAAGGAGGTTTGTTTTGAGGAAACGGGAAAGAGGAAGAAAAGAGAAGGGAAAAATACATAATTTTAAGGAAGAAGGAGAGAAAAAAAAACGGGGACTATGGGGAGAAAAAAGATTCAGATTACAAGGATTATGGATGAACGTAACAGACAGGTGAGTAGCAAATATACTGTATTTGAACATCATATTATATTTCTAAGGTGACTTATTCTCATAAGTGATTAAAAAGCTGATAACTTTGTTTACATATACATATACCTACGTATATGTATACATATACACAATGTATGGAAGACTATCAAAGAAAAAGTACTTTTGGAAGCAACCAGAAACTCACACACAGTTTTTTCAAGTTTAATAACACGCGTAGTTAGGAATTTATTACTTGAGGCCTTGATTCTACAAACACTGATGTGTATGCTCTATTTTGGGCCCCCTCTGGACTCGCTTTGACTTCAGTATGTAATGTACACAGGTAAGGACATCTGCAAGTTGTTACAGGACACAGGCTTTTAGTACTGTATTTTGTGAACTATTAAAATACGAGTTTATTTGCAGGAGAACTTGCATTTAAATTCATGGAACCAAATCATTTAAGTTTCTACACATTTGCAGTGTTTTTATTTTTACCTTCTTCATATAAAAATGACACTAGTTCATAAAAAATCTCATCTTTTCCTGTCGGAACATGAATTTTAAAAAGAATTTGAGCAGCCTAACACATTCTAAAACCCACATACAATAATATTGGCATGTTGTAGCTATGAAACAAAGTCTCCATTTCTGATGCTATGGCTAAATAGGTCCAGCAGGACTTGTTAATTAATTATTACCACTGCTTTAGATAAAATAGCTGAGTAGCTGCCACATATTATCAACACTATCTCTGCTAGTTAAAATATGGTCATAAATTAGAGAAACGGCTTTCCTGTTTTCAGAAAAATAAAATTCAACAATTGGGATCTTAAAATAAAATCAGTGAAAAGCTGCTGCTGTTTACATTTGATGTAAACGGATGAATGTTTTGTTGAAACTAAAGATTCACAAGTGTGAAAAACTCCATAAAATTATTTAACACTATGATTAGTGTTCTTCATACATGTGGCTGCAGTTTAGGAACAATCTTCAGTAGCTGTTTTTTAAGAACTTGATACTGAGTTACTATTAATATTTTAGTACTCTTCATTTGATCTATAAATTTCTTCATATATTCAGGTTGTTTTTCAAGGAGTGATCATGTTGTTAGTCTTCAAGGATTTTATAAAGCCATAAAGAACCCAACCTAGGCATAACAACAAATTATAATCTTTAAATACGGTTTCCCAGAATTTTTAAATTCTGTAGTGTTAGTAGTCACTTGTGTTCTCCATGGCAGAAAATCACGTTTAAAAGCAAAATATTTACGATGGATACATTCTGTGTTTTCCCTAAAGGTCGCCTATTGCTGTGGGCCAAGCCAAAAATCAGTAACTCTATCAATATAAAACCACCACCATATTTATTTTAATTGCTTTATAGCTTGGAATTGAAATCTGATTTGAAATATTGAACTGAATTATTCATTAAACTTTAAGACACTAGTTGTTTGGAACTTTCCCATACTACCATGGTTTCCTTTTGAGGTGAACCTGAATTATTTTGTATATGATACTACAAAACTTTGCATTAGTAACATTAGTTTATACAACAGCTTCAAGTGTCAACTTCCTTACTCAAATACAGGAATTATAGAGAACTTAATTCCCAGTCTTGTCAAAGAGATATCTTTGAAAAGGCTAAATTTACTTTAAAAAATGAAGACAGCTAGTCTTTCAAGTCATTCACCGTAGAGTTTCAAGACTTCTAGCACCAGCTTTCAGAACTAATAATTATGAATAAAACAATAACACTAGCATACTAACAACTGTAGTGTTAGTGCAGAAAGTGTTTATCTTGCTAGCATTTGATAATATCTATCAAATTGATTAGTCACTGTGAGGCTGAAGGTATAGATTTACATTACTTTATCCTCCACATAGTATAATTGGCTTGATTCTGCTTCTCATTTCTACTAATATATTGAAACATAATTTAGAAAGTGTTTCTACTGGTTTTATCCTCTTTGCATTTAATGCCTTGATTTAAAGCTCAGTGAAACCAATGAAAAGATTTCCATAGTTTCATTTGGACTGTGGGATCAAGCTTTTTAGTTGTAGCAGTATAGATGTGATTAAATGCAACTGTATTGCTCTTTTAACCATTTGTATTAGGTGTACTCTTTCACAAGCCTTACTGATTCTTAAAATGTAATGTATTCCATGAGCTATTGCTGCTTCCGTGAAGCTGCATCATTTTATTTGTTTTCTAACTTACGCATTTCCAGTAATCTTAAAATAGTAACTGGTTTATATCCCTATATTATTTTTTTATTTGATTACATAAATATATTTGAGTGCACAGAAAATATTAAAAGGCTGCAGTGGAAAAAAAAAAAGGTTAAAAGTTTTTGATTAATAAAGTTAAGATACCAGCTGAAGCACAGTTCCACAAAGCTTATTTGTAGCTTCATTTACTATGATATGGATGGACAATGTTTTCTTTTCTTTCTTACTACCTCACTGAAAGATGTTTGCAAGAACAGCAGCAAATCTGTTGACTTGAAACTGCCTTGTTGTTGCTTATATTCAAACTGAGTGTGGTTTCACAATATAAGGCATGTTAGTTGGGAATATAATATACATGGGTAGTGCATCCTCAGCTGTTTTCAAGCACATAAATTCCCTGCAGGACAGCACATGCAGGGAAAAATAGGTGGAACACGTATCAAATGAGGGTATACAGCAATAGTCTAAGTCTTTTGCCGTCTCCCAGTGCAAGAGTGAATCTGTTTGAATAACAAAGTTTTTGCAAAAGAGTTTAAGTTGTTACAAGGCCTGTGTAAGGTGATTTCTGTCCTCACTTTTCAACTTATTTGCCCAGTGTCCTGATTAGCTATTTACGTTACCCATTGAATGGAGTACTTGTTCTACCAGTATAACAGGTGTTTTCTTCCACACTACTGTCTGCTGTGGTAGGAGACTCCTCTGCTGTTCAAAGTGCTTGTATGAGTGCATTGGGAAAGACAAAAATAGTGCTGACCTCCCTTCAAAAGTATTTCTTCTGAGCAAATCTAGTTGGTTGGATTTGGGTACTTGAGTGACCATACTGGTAATAAATGTAAGTTGAAACTGTCCAGAGTCAGATGTCTGGCTCCAAATGTCATAGAAATGTGCAATATGGGGATATGAACTGCACTTTTCCAAAAACTATTTGAAACTTTGACATTTTGGGATAAGTCAAAGGAAAACTACTGCAACCTAGACATTAGAGGCCCAGTCCTTTTACCCTGGACTGCGTAAGAGCTCTGTCATTGACTTCAGTGAGTGCAGAATTCAGGCTTTTAACTAGGAGGAGCCATTAATTTAATATTGTTTCATGTGGGCTGCTGGTTGGCTGTGTTTTTCTGGCCCTCATAGTTACCATGTGGTGACAAAGGTGGCAAGGATATTTGAGTCTTCTGTGAGTGATCACAAATTCTCTTCGGCTGTGAAAGTTTCAGAAAAGCCCATCTGAAAAATTCCCTTTCACTGTGCTTTTAGCCACAGGGAGAAGGAGTATGAATAACTGCTAGGGCTAGAATAAAAGTGTATTTATTTGTGTAGCTTAGTTACCATCGTGATATTAAATGGAAATGAAAACTCTCAAGAGAATCCTGTTATAAGCAGCCAGTGTGACCAAAGACTTTCTTTTTTTTATTGTGACACTGGATAATATAGTCTTCATAAATGTGGAATGAATCTCTGGTAGTGATGCTCAGTCTCATGAGATTGTGGTAGCCTTGTCAACAGCCCATTGTAGTAGTAGCAGCCCATGAGTAGACTGCATACATGATATTTGTTGCACCACCAATAGAACCCATAGCCAAAAATATTAGGACTGACATCTGGTGTTGGAAGCTCCTGACCGCTACAAGTTCTTTGTGCAGAAATTTCAATTGGGCTGGTTGGAGAAGGCTGCTGTGAAGAATTCTGTGTTGTTTAAAAAAAAAAAAAAGAAAAGAGGAAGGACATTTGCAAAAGCATGGGTGAACTTTCATGTGTTTTCTTAATCGAAAGAAATAATTCAACTAGCTCTGTCATGGTCAGCACATGAAGGAAAAATTGCATTCATCTGCCTCAGAAAAGTACTTGTATTTTTTCTATTTGTTCTTCATCAGTTTGAAATATTTTGTTAGTTTTAATGAGGGCCTTTTGTGGTCTGCTGTAGACTGGGATCATTTGAAACTGTCTTTGCAACAGTCCAGGCAGGGCTGCCCAGGCCCAAAATAAATAGGTATAATGACATAAATGATATTGTATTACTGTTTTACGAGGTCACTTACAAAATATCTCATTAAATCCATGGTCTGTGAGCTAAATCCAGAGGTACATTGACCCAGGAAAGAGGGTATATTGACCCAATGACATTCTTGTATCAGGTCTGGAACACCCTCTTGCATTTAATCCACTGGTGTTTCTAGTTAGTATTAAGAAATATCAGGTCTTGTACGGCGACCCACAATTTTTTTATCCCTCTGATCATCTTGCTCATTAGTTCTGCATTTTTTTTCCTGCTTGTGGAGCATGCTGTTGTCAGATTCACAGTTAAAACTGATTTGAGCTTAGCTAATGATTCTGCATACCATTTAAAACATCTCTTTCAATTTGTAATGAGCTGCTGGGAGCTTAAGTGTTATTAAATACCATAGGAAGTGTGCACTTCAATATTAAGGTGCTTAAATTGTAAGACACCCTTTTTAAAGTAGCATGTCTGTGTAATTCTATGGGGTACAACAGTAACAAAAACTTGCTGTTTAACTTTTTCATGCATAGACTTTTTATCATCCTTTGATTCCAGCAAATCTGTAAAGCTATAAACCAAGACTTACGGCAGTTATCAGCTCAATAGAGAACAAATTTAAGCAGATAAGTAAAGTGAGGTTATGGGGCAGGGGAAGAATATCCTGGAGGGAAATGACCGTTTGCAGGAAGACCTAGATTTGTTCTACTGACTTCTATACCTAATGCTGCTAGTTTCAAAACTAATTTCAGCCTCGTGTATCTATTTTTAGCTGTGTTTCAGCTCTATTTAAAAGG